GGTTTTACACTTTTACTGACAAGAAAATAGAAGATGTTATTGTATTGCAATGCATAAAACATGTTGAATTTCCTTAACTAAGTACCACTACAGTTATGTTATAACGGAGCTGCTACAAAGCGACCTGCACAAGATCATCGTGTCACCGCAACACCTCTCTGCCGACCACATCAAAGTCTTCCTCTACCAGATATTAAGAGGTGAGTACAAACCCCCCATACTTTATGCCTCCCCTACGATACGTCCCATGTCAGCTTTCCTACTTGTTAAATTAATCAACCGCTTTGGTGAATGTCCTCGAAGATTTACCTTACGAAATGTTTTGCAAATGGTTCCTTTTGCCTTAGACTTGCACGTAAGTTCTGTAGAGATTTCGATAAGCTGATTGGTTTTGTTGCTGTATTTACCGTGCGTAATGTATTTTTAATTCAATCCTTTGCAAAATTTTTGTCATATTTTTATTTAATATTATCCTTCTTATAAAATTGCCAGTAAAAAAAGTTTACAATACGACATATTTTTAGTACAGATTTTATTCATATTAACCTAAGCTTGAAAGAGATAAACGTTTTATTAACCCATCTAAAGTGTCGTCTCTAAATTATCGCATACTCGTATGTTACGCGTCGTTTGACTCATCAAACTGTCTTAATCTTTGTTTTGGAGCGTACTGCGGATATAAAAACATTGGCAAAAGCTTCATATCGGAGATGTAGTTACGTTATTGTTCTCTCGGAGCTCGCTTTTATGATATGGAGGCGATTTAATGGTCAAACTAATGGTTAGTACGGGAAGTTACTTAATGCGAGCCTCCCTTATGCTCTCGGGAGAAGTTTTTCCATCACATCTACTATAGCTGGCTTAAATGAGACTTTTATTGAGTTATACACGTAAATACTTCTTAATAGTTGTTCGATTAGATAGGCTATAAATCCTGGTTTTAAGATTAAATATAAAATAGTGGCAGTAGAAGTAAATTCTCGTAAATCAGACAAGAAATTTTGCTTACGAATATCTACCAAACATCTATCAATTTATTTAAAAAAAACGTCGTTTACAAATATGCTGAGGCAATCGACATGCTTTCAAATGCATGCTTAACTATACTTGATTTTTTAACATAATGTAGGGACGCCTTTAAGGAACTAGAGTCAGGTAGGTACGTGGCCGCGGCTAAGACTTTTAGTGTAAAGCTGGGCGGTGTTTGGGCACATTAAAAAACTTTCTTCAAACCATGTTCCCCTCTAGCTTATAAGACTGCGCAGTAAATCAATTAAAATTTCAAAGACTTTTTTGGAAGGGTGGCTAAAATTTTCTTTCAAATCTTTTGAGTTGTTTGAGTTATGTTATGTATGAGAGCTATGTTATGTACGTATTTATGTGCGTTATGTATTTTTGTATTCATTAAAATATTGAGGACTATTTAATCCTTCAAAGACTATATTGACAAATGACGGTGAAGTAACATGACGTATGGAAGCCGATTTCTATAAAATTCAGTTTTTGTTGTAAGGTTTTACTACGAGTATGTTAGTATAGGATCTGTGACAGAAACTATACAATGTATTCAAACATTTTTTTGCTGCAAATGAATGGAATCACCTCCTGGCAAACGGAATCATCTCGATTCCGCGTTATTAATTCTTGCAATTAATCCCGCCTCCCGCCGCCCGCATTGCCGCCCGCCGCTGAGAGATTTCCCGAGAGTGGAACGTGCTAAGGGAATCTAGAAAAATGTGATCGTTAAGCTCCCAGCGCTCGGCGCATTTAATTAAAAACTTTATAGGAGTAGCGGCTCGACGACCCGGCCTCGGGACTTAGAACTCAAATTACTTCAAAATATACCACCGACCCAGAAAGGCGCAGTTTTAACGCACGCCGACAGCTTTTATTCCACCTCTACATCGCTCACGCTCACAGAAAATATAGAAGTTGCTTTTAAAATATTCGCTGACTAGAACTGTAGTGAAATATACTGGCCATTCCTTTTTTCCTATCGGAATATACTTTTTTGTAAATTACGAAAAATTTAAATGGCTAGCAATGACGTAAATATTCGAGTAAAGTTCTGTAACTTATAAGAAGAATTAGAATTTTTTCGTGTCGCCGGTTGCAACGTTATACTGTCAACGACCAGATAGTTTAACGTTTAAGAATATATGTCTTTTCAGGCAGTTGTAATTTGCTTGGAACTGACCAATTCAAGCGAGTCGATGAACCAAGTCGTAAGATGCGTTTAGACAGCCTTTGTGTTCCATTCTGCCGTATAGAATGCATCCCGAATATGTACGGTCGGTCCTGGTAGTCTAGACGTTGACAAGTATGCTAATGGCGACTCAGTCGTATACACTATGGACCGCTGAACGGCCAGCTACGGGTAAAGGTGCCTACCTAGATGCCAGGGACGCCATTGCTTCGCTTCATATTAATACGTTGACATTGTGAGCATAATTACAGACTTGCAGATTTTTTAAGGTTAAATAACGAATCGTTTACGACTGAATTAAATTTTACAAAGCAGTTGAATGTTCTTTTTTGGAATATCGATTAATTACGGTTTACATCACTCTTAAGTGGAGATTAACAGCAGATTTCGATTTGTTAACTCATTAGTGTTCCTAGAAAATGCCAATGTATTTCAAACAATGTATTGTTCCTTACATTACACTATTCAGCATCGATAATACTCATATTTCAAAAGAACACGAGCGCTTTTATTACGAGCATAAATCCAGCGGCGCGTTTGAAACCAATACTATTTTAAAATTCTTTGTAAATGAACTACGTTAATTAATATTGCCTGTAGGAAGCGACGCGATAGAATCGTGTGTTGGGATCCGACTAACGAACGAAATTATGGAAATGCGCCGCCTGACCGGACCCGTTGCTCTGCATTTCTCTTTGCTATCACATCCTCGCGCTGGACCAAACAGGAGGCGCTTAGAGTTTCATACCATGTTCACTGTTAAATCAATGGTTGAAGTTAATTAATCACTATAATATTTTATTCTCCAATTACACAATTACAAAGAATCAAATTAAAAAACTAGCAAAACATAAACTATCTGCTTCTAAGTTTGAGAATCTTAAGATACTAAATAAATATATTTGACAAGTTATAAAATGTTTTAATACGTAACATTTTGAGAGCTCGTGTAAGTGATAGGCGGTCGACGTGCGTAATCTACGTGCACATGTTCCCTAAATCCTAGCACGTCAGTTACTCCAGCCACATATATCATTGTAGGACAGTATTACCTATTTCCACAGACACCAGACGTGTGAGACATCCATCTTGGAGCACGGCTTATCGGAGATTTCTCAACGCGCAATTTCCTTCGCCTGTACATGACTTATTCAATACTATGGAGCACGCATTATCTCTTTTGGAGTAATAAATTCACTGTCAATTCTATTAACGTGTATAAGACTAACCTATCCGGATTTCATAGTTTTTAATTTTAAAGATACCTTAATTTTAACTAATTAATTGCTTACTTTTCTGTTTTTTTTTAAAACATTTAAGCTGCCAAACTTTATGTTATTTAAGTTAACTTTGTACTTTTAGTACTCGTTCTTTTCAATTTTCTGTTTAGTCGCAAATCAATGATATTTACTATTTTATTATTTCCCAAAGTGCCTAGAGTTAAATAAGTTTCTAATTTCTTTCGACATTTGTTTGAATTGACGCAGAATGACAACTCAGTGCTTTTCTTTGGTGATCTATAACTCTAATGTTTTGTGGTCATGTTTGATGCTATGCATGCATGGGCGTAAGTAGTACCATTACCCACCGGCGCTTGACGCGGGTGTGAGCAAACTGATTCACTGTTATTACAAGCCTTATGAGCTTGAACACTTGATAACGTGTTCTGATAAATTATTATACTGATTTGAGAGCATGTTTTTCGACAGCAATGACTAATAAAATAAATCATTGCCTGCTTATGGGTACTAGAATAGTATTTATTTTTATTGTATCCATGTATCATAATGTATTAAAATTATTATTCCTATTTGTGATATAATAAACAAATATTCACAGTGGAATTCAGTAATCAAAAAGTTGTTTTTATATGTCGCGTTAAAGTAAAATAAGAATTATTCTTACTTTTTATATCCCGCTTTAAAAATGAAAAAACCTCATTGTTTTTCAACGGAAACCCTATAATTAAAGTGGCTGTTACATCAAGTGAACTGAATGTAGGTATCGGATCGTTGTCCTTGCGGTGATAGGAGCCGGGACGTCGCGGTCTGCCGCGCGGACGTCGACCTCACCTCACAAACTAATGCACCCGATGCACGATAATCACGATATACTGTTAATTCTGCTGTCCTGGTACTTTTATTGTATCATCAACCTTTGTAATCCTAACGGTACAGTTTCTAAGTCAAAAAGTCTTTTCCCGATTTCTATGTTACCTTGGTACTACTTGTAGTAAACGCCAAGAAATCTTTATTTTAATTCCGTCAATTTTCAAGGATTTTTAATTTAATGCAATCAAAATAGTTTAATTGACTGGTCTATTCAGTTGTTTTGATAATTAAATATTTGTTAATCTCGATTGTTATGCCCTGAGTGCTGTTTTACTTAATTTTTCGGACGAGATATCTATGTAGGTATTAGAAGTCAGTGTTTACAGTTTAATTGCTATCTAACAGTTGCAGAGCGTCATAGATATGGGGAAAAGCCACCTTTAACATTGTTTTTATTTGAATATTTTTCTTTGTCGGGATTCGCGTAGGTGAAAACTGATGTTCATCCGTTGGGAAATTATATCCGACACGAGGCAACGAGCTGTCGTTAATTTGTTGTGACGTAGAAACCGCTAGGAGGCGCCACCGCTCGTCTACACTGTCTCAGTACATTCGCGTTTCTGTCAAATCTGTAACTTGATTGCGTTTTATCATCTTTTCAAGCGTTTTAACTACTCTTGTTTTAATAATCTAAGATAGAGATGCACTTTAAGAACGTAAGTAAATAATAACTCGGAAGTTCCATATATTCTTGCAGAATTTTTTAAAAGTTATTTCTTCAGTAAAGATTGTTTTTTTTTGGCTGGTTATAAGTAAAAAAATCTTTTTATCTGTAGGTTTTAACGTAACAAGATTATATTGAAACGTGTACATTTGTAGTTTGTATTATATCTATTTAGCTTATCCTTGCGTAAAGGAAGTGAAATAGCGTTCTCACGGGTATTTCTAACTCGGAGAACGTATTCGGCTTTGCGGCTTGCACCGTCTGGTTACAAGCCCGCTGTGTAGAACTAATGCTAGGTAAAGTATTCAACAACAGTCTATTTTGCACGGTAGCTAACTTTTATAATTTAATTTACACTTAAGTGAAAGTCTTTGGTTTTCTAGAAGATACTAACGTAATCGATGTTTTCTATAATTTATAAAGATTTTACTTAAAGTATTAGGTTGTAGAAATGTCCTCTTATTAAAGTAGTGGAAGTCTAGAAAGCAAATTTCAGAGGCCGGTTAAAACACATACCAGTTTTCGTTAGAAATATAAAATCCTTTCTATTTGAAAATTCGTATTAAATTATAATAACATTATCTCACCTCGACACGAACTTATTCTCACTTTATTGCAATGCCAGCTTTTTGTGACAATCTCTCGAGACCAGAGCTGTGCTGCTTCGCGTCTCTAACGAGCAAAATTCTCGCCCCTGTCATCTATTATTTATGACAACGAAATCTGGCGCACTGTTAGGAAACCGTTTCATATATCCGACAAGTGGGGCGGCGGTCCGCAGATATTTATGTTGTAAATTGATGCAGACCTTCGTCGAGGAAATCTTTTGTCGATATCCGTTGAAAGTGGACAAAACTAGATTTTATAGGAAGTACATTTATAATATCTTATACTAGATTTGGGCAGTTTAAGGCAATTTAATGTATTATCTTCAATTCTAAGTTGCATGGGAATTTTATTGTTGCAGGGGTAAAAGGTTTTAATCGATACCAACAGTCTAGTCTTGTTATGCTTTACGGAAATACCCTTGATTGAAAACCAGTGCAATTTTACCATACTTAGTGAATGTGACTTCTAGTTTTTACGCATGACGATGTTCTAAATAATAAAAATAGTAATTACATTATTTAACTAATAGATTTCTGTCTAGGAATAACATGTATGTTGCAGATAAATATATTTCCAGATATTAAAAACAATTGCATGTTACTTACGTGGTTGTTTCTAGAAATGTTGACAATAGAAGCCTTTTTCATTGCTTGCGTTAAAGATTGTGTTACATTGCATTTTATGAAAATCATGCAAACATTGCTCGCTTTATATCTTAAGTATGTTTTATAGCGTTTATATTTGTTCTCCAGGTCTAAAGTATCTGCACTCGGCCCGTATCCTGCACCGCGATATCAAACCCGGCAATCTTCTAGTGAACAGCAACTGTGTACTCAAGATATGCGACTTCGGTCTCGCGCGGGTCGAGGAGCCCGATGTTACGAAGAATATGACGCAAGAAGTTGTCACGCAGTATTATAGGTATGCAATTAAAGTATCTTTTGTTCAGTTTAAGAATGACAATTGAGTTTGTACAAAAGATTTGAGATTGTTAAGTTGAATATTGCTAATTGTGGCTTTTCTGATATGCGTGTAACCGAAAGCGGTTTAGTCTGAAGTGTTTGTATTAGTTTTAGGCATTATGTTGGACTTTCCATTATTGCTTTAATGCAAATTTTTAAAATAGCGGACAAACATTTTACGTAATATGCCTTATTTCAAAACAGACTTTCTGGTCAATTTTGCGAGTTTCGATTAGGATTATTATTTTGCCATAAAAGTACTTTGAAACGTAGAAATAGGTTTTCTTATATTAGGTTAATGTTCCAATTCACTATTCAGCTTGGTTTGGATTGCGCACATTTGAATATTTTGCTGAGAGAAAGCCAATCTTATATAGAGGGTTTAAATGAACATTGAGTTTGATTGCAGTCTATTCGCTTCTCTAAAATGTTTTTGTTCTCAATTCCAAGCTTAGTATGAATGTGAGATCTAAAAAGCCAAATTTAATGCATAGACAAAAAAAAATATTTCTTCACAATTATAGTATCCGAAATGTCCTCTGATATACTCTGAACTTGTATTTACATACACATACAAGAAATCATACTTCATACTAATATTATAAATGCGAAAGTTTAGATGGATGGATGAATGGATGTTTGTTAGAGTTTGTAGCCTATAAAGGGCTTAACGAATTTCGATGAAATTTGGTATAGATGTAGAGAATAGTCTGGAAGGACACATAGGCTACTCACTTTTTTTTTTTCTAATTCCACGTAGATAAAGTCGCGGGCGAAAGCTAGTCTGTCATAATAACATAAAAGTATATGCTATATGTACCCATAACCGGGTTTATTGCATTGCCCGTTAAATAACGCTCATACATTACTTGTCAGGCAATTTATACAACGCACGTCCGTACATAAGTAAAGTATATAAATGTATATACGCATACATAGGAACAGTTGGAAAGTTCTCGTCTTTGCCTCGCTCCGCAGACGGGCTCCATATCGCCGGGATATTAAACTTTACGCCGCAATTTGATGCCAATTGAACCTACGCATATATCACTCGGAATCTCACTTTATCGTTTGAAAAAAGACGTATTCTCACTTCGTAATTCCAACTTGCGATACGAGAGAATTACAATTCTAGGTTCCTTATGTAGACTGTAATAAGTAAACATGCATTTGTTCTGAATATGTGGAAGATTTGTTTAGTGATTAGCTTTTGTTAGTACTTGGATTCTTCATGATTTACCAAGATATAAGCATATTTCTGCAGAATGCCGTTTTCAATTACCTCGATTTGAATGAAAATTATTATCTTTGTTATTTTTTTGAAGATAATGATTATAACATTTTATCCAGAGATAACCCATGTTTAAAGAGAAAGGAAAAGTCGAATATGTTGCATAAAAGCAATTACCGATTCGACTCACGTACTGCTGATCTTGAATTCCAAATAAATGGTGAATCGAAGGCTGTGGGAGGTGCGGGCTGTGAATGAACGATACGACCTCAGTGGAGTCCGCGCTCGCAACCAGGCCACGGCTGCCTTTGTTACACAAAACCCAAGAAATTGCTAACTCAAGTGTACACTTCGATACATACTAAATGGCAGCCATCTTTTATCGGTTTTCAAAGTCTATTTATATTTGTATGTTGGAAAGCCAATTGCATTTGTGAGTGACCATTTTAAAATGGTATTTGATATTTTATTATATACCTTTGTAGTGGAAATAGTTTCATGTTGTACAATATTATCTATGCTAAGATTTTAAAGATGAAAGATTTGTATTATTTTTATGTATTGAAATAACTCAAAAATTCTTTCACCGTTAGAAAGGTAATTTATAAATAGGCTATATGTTTTAATTTCACGCGGGCGAAGTCGTCAGTAATAATTTTATATCTGAAAGCAACAAAATAGCTTTTTTCTGGTAACCGTATGTCGATAATGACAGCCAAATGGCACCCCATTGTTATTGCTAAGCAACCCGGCAATTGTTAATATCGTTCGAGTTAACGACCCCTTATAACTTACAGATACAAACCTATACTTTTATTAATTCTCACGTTTACATAGGACTTGTGTACTGAGAGACAATACATTAAATATGTATACCGGCTTTGATAACTGTACACTGGAGAGTGAGGTATTAGACCGAAATCTCCAAGTGACATCGTCTAAAATTAATGCTTTGAAGGTCCTTTCGTACTCCGTCGTTTAAATAGGCGTTGCACTAAATATTTTAACATTCACACTGGTTACTTACTATGGCTTTGCCCGGTAGAATACGTTAATGGTTTTTCAGCCTTAGTTTTATTGCATCGAAAGTAGTGAGAAATCAACGTATAGGTTTGAAATATATCGTTCAAAAACATTGTAATTTGTTTGGCTCTTGCACATACTGAATTTTAAAACATGGAGAATCTATTAAGATACGTAATCCGTATGAAAATACGTTACAGTACTAAGTTTTTTTTTCTATAAATAGCAATTTCTTGCCTAGGATCTTTTTATCGTACACTTATTTTTATTTTTCTTGTGCGATACAAGGGTCACTTGGTTTATTATGATTTAAAATGTTGCAGAGCACCAGAGATCCTGATGGGCGCCAACCACTACACGGCCGCCGTTGACGTGTGGTCTGTAGGCTGCATATTCGGCGAGCTCCTAGGCAGGCGCATACTGTTTCAAGCTCAGAGCCCTGTGCAACAGGTAATAATTACTTATGTTATCCTTGTAATTAACATTGAATAACTCACATGTTATTTGTCTAATGCAAAAATGCTTATTCTTTTTTTTTGATTTTGAAGTCATATTAACAGATAAATTTGATATTCCAGTTGGAGTTGATAACGGAGTTATTGGGAACGCCGTCGCTGGAGGACATGCGACACGCGTGCG